CCCCACCCGCCGTATTCTCCAAACGTTGCTCCCTCTGACTATCACTTGTTTCGATCAATGGCACACTGCCTGGATGACCAGCACTTCCGGTCTTATGAAGAAGTAAAAAATTGGATCGATTCGTGGATCGCCTCAAAAGGTGACCAGTTTTTTCGACGTGGGTTCGTACGCTGCTCGAAAGATGGGAGAAAGTAGTGGCCAGCGATGGACAATACTTTAAATCATAAATGTATAACCAGTTTTTTACAATAAACCCTCGAATTCCGGAAAAAAACGGCGGAAGCAAAGCTGTACACCTAATACAAGAATTCTGTATATTAGAAAATTAAAAATTTTAAGCCGTTTGTTTAATAATATAAAATAAAACTTTTCTCCATCTATTTCTCTATGTGTCAATTTTATTAGAAAAAACTGATACCCTGCGATTTCTCAGATCCTAATCACGATTAAAATAACTATAACAGCACACGCTTTCTCTCTATAATAACTTGTTGCAACTTGCATACTGTACCTGATCCGATCGGATGTATTCGACCACACGCAGCACCGAGATCTCTATCTTTTTTCATCAAATCCACCAGAACTTTAACAGCGGCCGGTCGAAAGTCAATATCTCCGTCCAATGTAAGAATGTACGTGTTCTCGGCAATAGCCTCTTTTCGATCCGTATCGATTGATAGTCCCATCAGACGATAGCCCAAAAGGTAATACATATACATGACCTTAAAAAAATTGAAGTGTTTCTCAGAGCTTTTTTCAGAAATTTTATAAACATAAAGATCTTTCATTTCTTTCTAATAATTTCGTATTTGTACGTGTTTACACACAATACACACACATTTATATATTTGTTATCTTCAAATATTACATATATTTCATATACATACATATGTATATCATATACATATACACATATAGGGGAAACCCTCCTATTATGAGAAAGGTGCCTAAAATAAGATAGCGGCGTTTCTGCTAAACTAATAAATGCTATCTATTAGTTCCACCATGAATTTATTATTCTTGGATTGAAAACCATTTAGTGGAAAATTCATTATTAGAGCATGCCTGTAATCGTTGTAAAAAAAGATTTCAGAATTTGGATGTCTTCAAGTTTCGTTGAGACGAGCCTTTAAACCTTGTTTATTATTTAATAAGTAAATATTTGGCGATAAATTCTTGATGTAGTGAGAGTAAGGTCGTACTAATAGAAAAATACAGGATATGTTGAATTGTCTAATTACAGAAATTAGATTTGATGATCGTAAAACCGTAAGACGTAGAAATCATAATATAAGATACTCAGGGTATTTCTAATATGAAATAATCTATGCTTCTGTGTCATATATTCTGTAAAAATCGTTGCTAAAGTATGAATGTTATTGTACAATAATTAAAAGGACAACCAAAATAAACATCGACTGTCTATTTCTGTTTGGTTCCAACTACCTGAAAATGAGTCCTAACTACAACGCATTGCATGCTCATTTTGCGCGCACACTGGCTATGTTTATTTGTATTTTAGAAACATTAAATAAAGTTTTTTAACTGCAATACTGATGTACTTTGCGTTTCATTATCGATTTCTCTGGACATCTCATATTAGGAACACAATTTTTTGAATTTGCGATTCGTTCATTTTTTACATTACTTTAATTTTAAAAAAATAGAATTAGAATCAGGAGACGCGGTAGCGGCTCCCGTCAAGTATATTTTTGTAGTACATAATAATATAATACCATGTCTCATGAAAGAGACGCTACAGCGTATCCTTTACAGGAATAAACTCGCTTATATAATTAAAAATTGTTTTGTTTAAACAAATTGATGTTATTTAAAAAATGCATATATTGGGGAAGAGAATATAGATTTTTATAATTAAAATAAGATAATAATCATGTCCATAAGTGTACTTGATGCTTAGATACGAATATGTGCACGTATTTTTCAGCCCAATTTCTGCCATTTATTCATTCAGATACGTCGTCGCCGTCGTCGTCTTCGCAAAATTTTGTCCCCTTTTACTACACCTTTTTTCAGCACTTTCTACACTTTTTCTGAATCTTCTGCACTTTTTTTACACTTATTTTCTACACTTTTTCTACACCTTTTCTGCATTTTTTCGACACCTTTTCTACACTTGTTCTACATCTTTTCAGCACTTTTACTGCACCTCTTCTGTAATTTTTCCGCATCTCTTTCGTATCCTTCTGGCATCTCTTCCACATCTTTCATGTACCTTTTCTGCACTTTTTCTACAACAGTACCACACCTCTCCCGTATTAATTTCGCATTTCTTCTGCACCTCTCCGCATCTGAATCTTACCGTTTCCGCAACTCCTTTGCACCTTTTCCGCATCTTTTCTGAACTTTTACTGCACTTCTTCTACATTTTTTCCGCATCTCTCTCGCATCCTTCTGGTATCTCTTCCACATTTTTCATGTACCTTTTCTGTACTTTTTCTAGTACCACATCTCTCTCACACCTCTCCCGTATTAATTTCACATTTATTCTGCACCTCTCCGCATTTGAGTCATATGCTGGATTCTTCACACTGCATCCGATTTGCGTCGTACGACGATCTTCAACCAATCAGAAAACAGAATTCCGATGATACGAAGCAAAATCCATCGGAACCCTGTTTTCTGATTGGTTGCAGAGCATCGTACGACGCAAATCAGATGCAGTGTGAATCTAGCATTACCGTTTCCGCAACTCCTTTGCACCTTTTCCACATCTTTTCTGAACTTTTACTGCACCTCTTCTACACTTTTTCCGCATCTCTTTCGCATCCTTCTGACATCTCTTTCATGTACCTTTTCTGCACTTTTTCTACAACAGTACCACATCTCTCTCACACCTCTCCCGTATTAATTTCGCATTTCTTCTGTACCTCTCCGCATTTGAATCTTACCGTTTCCGCAACTTTTTTGCACCTTTTCCGTATCTTTTCCGTACCACTTCTATATTTCTTTTACATCTTTTCCGCACTTGTTCTGCACTTCCTCTCATCGTTTCTGCATATCTTTCCCAATTCTTCTACATTTCATCTGTCTATATACATTATTTTATTTATTTACATATTTACTTATACATTTATATTATCTATTCACCTATCGATATTATCTATCCATCTTCCAATGTTTCACTTATTCACCTATTTACGTTTTTATTTGGCTATTTATGATATTTATTATCTGTCTACGTTCGAATGAAAGCATGCATGAGTAAATTGATAAAGACTGATTAATATGAAGAGATCAAACAGAACGAAATTATAGGCTGATAGTTTTTAATTAAACTAGAAAATGATAATGAAATAACAATTTATTCCAAACAATATTCATTCATTTATAATTTCATGTTTAACAAAAGGGGATTGTACGAAACCGAAATTATATACTAGTATTTGTTAACTAAGCTAGAAAATGATAATCAACCGGAAGACATTAAAAATGTAAAAAAAGGCATCGTATATTTCAATATCTTTACATAATCAACCAATTTTGTAAATATATGAAAATGATAACGAAAATAATACTTAGCAGAAATTCGTGAAATCTATCGGAAAAGACAATGAAAATGTAAAAAAAAGGCGTCAAGTATATATTGCAGAAAAAAGATACCAAAAATGTCATAAAAAAAGAAGCGAAATCAAAATAATATTTCAAGTATTTCTATTTGAAAAGTCCCGTAGAACATAGTTCTCTGAACGGCATCTTGAAGGCTTTCTTATGATGTAGATATCTTTTTGATATCCTTCAAGACAGTGTTGTATGGAATTTTTCACAATTATAACATACATCCTTTACGGAAAAAATTCTGAAAATTTCAGTGTTTATACTCAAATTTGAGTGTAAACCCTAAATTTTGGGAGTTTACTCTGAAATTTGTGTGTTTACACTTAAATTTTGAGTGTTTACACTCAAACATTGAGTATATACACTCAAAGATTGAGTGTTCACAACGTTCATACTCAATTTTGAGTTTACATACTAAACATCTAAAGATTACCCTCAACACTTGGGTATGACACACGCAATAAATGAGCGTAAACCCTAAACCTTTGAATGTCTTCAAAATTGAGTACATAAACTTAACAGTTATTTGAGTTTTAATTTCCATGATTAAGATAAATGCCAAAATATTGAATGTAGATGTCCGTAAATATTTGCGTACTTAAAAATAATGGCGTTTACAATTTAATATTTGTTCTGAAATTTTAATTTGTTTTGAAATTTTAATATTTATTTCTATTCCTATAATAATATTTCCTCCATTGTACGTAGAGTCTAAGGGGGAAATCACACGGTGCGGAAAAGAAAATATGTCACAAAAGCAACCAATCAGCTTTATTCTGCGTTATTCCGAATAGCGCTAATTAGTTATTTCAATGAGCGCATTCAGCGGACTCAACAGTTAAGTGCGAGTGCCATGCTCGCTGTTATTAATGTATTCCTTTAGCTCATCCAATCAGAATTTTAAATCTAAAAGAATATAACAGCGAGTGCTCACTCAACTGTTGAGTCCATTAAATGATGCATTCTTTGTTCCGCAATCATTTTCCACACCGTGTGATTTCACCTTGACACTAAAGTTAACTATCAAGTTGAGATTAACACTCAATATTCAAGTCATCAATAACACTCAAGTTGAGAGTTATACTCAGGTTGAGCGTCCAAAATAAAATCATTAATTGAGTGTTACTTTGAGTGTATTTTTTCAGTGTTTATTAAAGTGTAAACACTCAAATTTTAAGAGTTTTTTCCGTAAGGGATACCACACAAAGTACAGATGACATTTGAAGTGTATTAAATATAACAACACATTAATGAGAGAAATGCAATAGATAGTGTAATGAGAGGCGCGGAAACTGAAAAGATTTTTACATCGATAAAAAGTAGAAAATTGTAGAAAAAATCGAAAATGAGCAAGATCTCCAGCAGCAGCATACTTCACGCGCCCGTTCATAATTCGATTCATGCAAACAATTTAATAAATATTTTATTATAATAATAAACTATTAGATGTACAACTTAGCTTTCGCCATTTTCCTATAAATGGCTTTAGCGGTAAGTGATGGTCGAAATAAATAGATCATAGATGTCATACAATAAACTTGGGCATCTGTAAACATAACCCCATAGAAACATTAGTCGATTTGCGTCTGCATCATAAAGTTATTCTCGATTGAAAATGTCAGTTTAAGAGCCAAATTCTCGTCATTTGCAGGAGATTTTAATTTTCTGCTTCAATATGAGGAAATCTGCGGCTGAGGCTCATCAAATGCTCTCAAATACTTATGGTGAGGCCGCTATTAGTGAAAGAACGTGTCGTGAGTGGTTTCAACGCTTCGAGAACGGTGATTTTGACGTCGAAGACCGGCATAGCGGTGGAAGAGAGAATGTTTTCGAAGATGCAGAATTGGAGGCATTACTTGATCAAAACTCGTGTCAAAATCAAGAAGAATTGGTGCGATCATTGGGAGTGATTCAACAGGCCATTTCAAAACGCCTCAAAGCCATAGGAATGATTTAGAAGCAAGGAAATTGGGTGCCGTACGAGTTGAAACCGAGAGATATTGAACGGCGTTTGTTTGCTTGTGAACAGCTGCTTGAAAAGCAAAGACGGAAGGGATTTCTGCATCGCATTGTGACTGCGGACAAAAAATGGGTTCATTACGATAATCCCAAGCGCAGAAAATCATGGGGAGTTCCCGGCCATGCTTCCACGTCGACGGCCAAACCGAATATTCACGGCTCCAAGGTCATGCTCTGTATTTGGTGGGACCAGCTCGGCGTAGTGTATTATGAGCTGTTAAAACCGGGGTGATCCCGATTGATCACGGCTCGATTGAACACCACTAATCACTGCGACCGGTGCTTAGGAGGTTTGTAGTCTCAAGCGCTGTGAGTGGCTCGTGTCCAATTGAGCCGTGTCCAACTAGGTGCCACCCGTTAAAACTGACTGAAACAATCACAGGCGATCGATATCGAACGCAATTGATGCGTTTGAGCCGAGCATTGAAAGACAAACGGCCGCAATACAACGAGAG